CAAGGCATGAATTCCCAATGATGATGCCTGTAGACCCAGAACGAATGAGCCCTCTTGTAAGAGGCCTCCCCAAATCCCTCAAACCCATAGACATTCTGTTACAGGGCCAAATTCAGGCTATGTCCCCTTTAGACTGACTGGAAACCACATTGGGGTCCCACACGCTTTTACACAGGAACCTGGATAATCAGGAATTGAAAATTTGGATATGCGGAGAAGTAGCACAAGAACTGATCAACTATGGCCGGAAATACAGTCCGGTTAACTCTCCTGCTGGTGTAGGTTCTGTGAGCAGGGGGGTTAGACAGCTAGAGGCAGGACCACTTCCCTTCAGGAAAAGAGAACTTAATTCCAGGGGTACCCAAGACAACCAAGACCGTTCGAGAACTTGACGGAGTCTGTGGGCATTGGGGTGGCAAAAGGGAATATCGAGGGACCTGATGGATGGCCTCGCCACTACAACCTTGGAAAAACTGGTTTTGAGATGGCCAAGCTCCAAAAGACCCGCTAATGTTAAGAATGAGAGAAAACCGAGGGACCCTATGACTACCCCGAATGCACATCCTCTTATTGATTTGGAGGAAGGAGACCTAAATCCAAAAAACAACCAGGGAAACTAGATGTCCCATCCCCCAAGAGTGAGTGGGGGGGTGGAAGCTGGATGTTTGTTAGACAACTCACCGACAATGGCAAAGGAGATATTTTGATAACAGCAATTGTGGGTCCCCAGAAAAAAAACCAGTAACATTTCTAGTAGATACTGGGGCTCACATTTTGGCACTTACAATTGATGATACTACAGTCTGTGGAGTTGTAGCTTCAAAACAGCAACTCCATGCATTAAATGTGTTTGGCGTCGCCTGATCTGTGACTACAGCCCTAGTCTGTATATTATTACCAGGGGAAGACAACATCATTAAAGTCATGATGGCAGTAGGGCAATTTCCCCTGAGCCTGTTGGGACTAGCTGTTTTGAAGGGCCCTACTTGGCTCGATAATCAGGGACAAAAATGGGCATTTGGCACACCTGCTGTGCAGGTGAGACTGTTGCAGCCAGCACCAACTCTTCCCCCTTCCAAACTGACCAACATAAAACCATATCCATTGCCTTTTGGGGCCAGAGAGGGAATTACCCCTGTAATAGAGGATTTGAAGGGGCAGGGAATAGTAGTCCTGAGCCACTCTCCATTTAACTCTCCTGTTTGGCCTGTGAGAAAGTCCAATGGGAAGTGGAGATTGACTGTAGACTATCAAAGGCTAAATGCAAATACTGGCCTGCTAACAGCCACAGTACCAAATATTGCCAAGCTCATTGCATCAATCCAAGAGCGAGCACACCCCATTATGGCAACAATAGATGTAAAATACATGGTTTTTATGGTCCTCTACCTTGGTACACCATGCTTTAGCAAAAGAACTTGAGTTAGACCTCAGAGAATAAGAGGTAAGCGTCTATCAATATATTGACAACATCCTCATGTGGGGGGGAGGTGGAGAAGGTGCAAACTACCCAGAATAATATAATGTCTCACTTGGAAGGGCTAAGTTTGCAGATTCCACCAGAAAAGATACAGGTACCCTCGCAGGAAATTTTTGGGAATCTGGTGGAGGGGAGGTATTTAAAAACCGTGTAGATGAGACACTTCAGGACATGCTCTATTGGTGTATTTTTTTCTTTTAATGATTTTTTTTTATTTTGGGGCGGGGGGAGTTAACGATTGGACGCAGTGATCTTAGACATCTTTTCCAACTGTGACAATTCTGTGACTCTGTAATTGGCCCTTTGGATACTCTAATAATATGACTGGGATTATGATCTTCCTTCAGGCCTCAGACACCCCCCAACTATGCAATCATATCATTATAGTAGCATGAAGGAAGTAGCCTCTCAAGTCCATTAACAGTCCTCTTGAGAGGATATTAAAGAAAATGACATCTCTACGTGATATATTGATGCCCAAAAATGTGGTTAAATGCCCTGTTAATTAACTTTTTTGCTGTTATACTTGTAAAAGTATAGTAATTTTTTATAGCTAACTGAACTGTCTAGAAAAAGGCCAGTAGTCTTATCTGGGTGAAATGTTGTCCCATCAATGACTTAATTATGAATAACAGCAACATATAGTGCACCCCATATATATCTCACTATATAAAACAAAATGCTTAAGTTCATATTTTATTACTACAGCAGTATCTCCATGATCACTGAGCAAAACTTTGTTGTAACAGTGACAGAGAAAACCCTGCATTTTCCTTTTAAAGATAGGAATTTGAGGCATAGAAAAATTAAAGGTCAGCAAAAAAAGTATACAAAGACCTCTCATTAAGCAGTGATTTTTTTCCCCTGAAATCAGGACAGTGGGAGTAAAACTGTTTTGAAATTCTGGTTCTCAAGAGCTTAGGCAAGGATGATCAGAAGAAACACAGCATAGCCAAGGACAGACCCCAAGTCTCTTGAATGAAGTCTTTAAGGCACTATAAGTTATCTTAACTCTCATGACCTCAAAGAGACTTTTAATAACAAGAGGAAATCAAATAGCTCTGAAATAGTGTTTTCTTTATTAAATGTTTTACTATTAGTTCTTGACTGAAAAGGTTTTAAGTGAGTTAAGTGAAAGTTGAGTGAATGTAGGGTTGCAGGATTAGGTGGCAAGATGCTTGTCTTGAACAGATTCCTCAACTGGCCCAAGCTGATCTCAGATTTGAGGGAAAAAAACCCTCTGACACAAATTATATTATGCAACTAATTATTATACATAAAAAATTCCATTTTTCCACAAGTTTTCTGCCTAACCTCTGTCCATGTTTGTGAGTTTTGTTAATGGGATCTTGGTGAAAAGACACGGGTAGTATTTCCTATATTATAATAAGAAAAAAAGGGCAAGATCAGTACCTTTAGAAACAGTCCTTTAGTTCAAGAAAGTAGAGAGAATAACATTCTGAAATGTGTTTTAGAATAGCAATTAATTCCCTTACTTGTCTGGTGTCTGTGTTTGCTATTTAACAATGAAATATTAATTCCTGTGTCCTGGTTTGAGCCAGGATAGAACCAATTTTCTTTGTAGTAATTTTACTTTTCAGTTAAGTCTCTTCTAAGTAGCTGCAGTTGCTGAAACTATCAGCATGTTTTTCAGTCAGTGTCTGCTTCTAGGACTGATACCACTAGATATTGATAGTTACTGCTGGAGAATGGTATGCAGAACCAGGGTCACTGCTTGGTTCTGATAATCATTTTATGCTCCACAAACAAAAGGGAGGAAAGAGGCCACACCTGTGATTCTCCGCAGGAGAGGAGTGGACTAGATAGGCAACTAAAATTGACCAAACTATTCCTTTCCATATGAATCATATTCAGTACAAATCTGAAACATAACAAAGGTCAAGCTCTCTTCATCCATGGCTGGCATCCTGAGAGGACTCTGTCCTTTTGTCTGCCTTTGATCCCAAATGGTGCATTCCCGAATCCATGTGTTCCTGCACGCAGCTCCCATCTCCAGGACTTTTCCAGGGCCTGCCCTGCAGCCTCAGCGGTGATGTGAGCATTATCGGTGAGGGGGAGGCACAGTTGTTTTGTTTTTTAAAAATATTTGTGGTTTTTTTTTTGTGTGTGTATATTGGCTCATTTGATCAAAGTCACGGAGGCGAAGGACTCCGGAGCGGAACCGCGCCGGGAGACTCTTCCTTAGCGGCAAAAAAAAAACGGCTAAAGCGCAAGGAGAGATAGGGCGCCCCCCAGCGTGGGCCAAACCCCCTCACGTACAAGAACAGCCCCCAGGGGACGCTGCACGTCAGAAGGGTGTGGCATGGCAGTTTGTGTACGCAGGCGAGCTCAGCTGGAAGTCCTCACTCTCCCAGGAAAAAAATCCAACGATGGTCTCCACTTGGCCCAAAACCATGGCTGAAATAAATGTGACGACCCAGACTGACCTACCTTGGAAACAGGCAGCCGTCCAAGTGTTGGGCTGTGTGGAATGTCAGAGCTGGTCACTCTCACCAGAAGACGGCAAAGACAACACCTGTGTGCACTTCAACCCAGTAAATTATCTGCTCAGCCTGCTGGTGGAATTTAAGGGGAAACTGGAGAGATTAAGGGCTATCTGGGAATGTGAAAGGGAAATAGACTTATGGAGCCACACCCTACTATCCTTAGGGAAAAGGCAGCTAGTAGAGGCTCCATGAGAAGTAGAGGATTCCCTGCCCTCTTATCACCAGGCAGGAGGGGACCTAAGAGATGACTGGGGGAGGGGGGGAAATGGAAGCTGGTCTCTGCTTGGGGCAGCAGGCAAGTCCCCTCCAGATCTGCACTTTTCCAGGTGCCCTTACAGAATAGATATGGGGCTCAGGAGATAGGGGACAAGGGACAGGAGGATGTTGATAAAGCTCCATCCAGGGAGTTGCCGAAGCAACCAGCTCCATGCATTAAGACTGCTTCTGTTAAGAGCAAGAGGGTGACTGTTATAGGAGATTCCCTTCTGAGGGAAACTGAGGGTCCCATATGCTGCCCAGATCCTTCCCATAGGGAGGTCTGCTGCCTCCCTGGGGCCTGTGTTAGGGATATAACCAGGAAACTTCCTGGTCTTGTACAGCCCTCAGATTACTACTCTCTTTTGATTTTTCAGGTAGGCAGTGATGAGTCTGAGGGTAATGGAGAAAGATTTCAGGGCCTCGGAACAACTGGTCAAGGGATTGGGAACACAAGTTGTGTTCTCTATCCCTCCACTTCCGGGGAATGATGAATGGGTAAACAAGAAGACCCACCAGATCAATGTCTTGCTCCAAACCTGATGCTACCAGCAGGACTTTGGGTTTTTTGACCATGGTTTGATTTACAGTACACCAGGCCTGCTTGCAATTGATGGGAAAGCTCTATCTCACAGGAGGAAAAGGGTACTAGAGCAAGAGTTAGCAGAGCTCATAGACAGGGCTTTAAACTAGACTCGAAGGGGGAGGGGGATGAAACCAGGCCCACCAGAGATGAGCCTAGCAGTGAAGGGCCAAGAATGAGGGTGAAATTGATAGCCCAGCTCAAGTGCATCTACACTAATGCAGGTAGCAGGGGCAACAAGCAGGATGAGCTGGAAGCCATTGTGCAGCAGGACAACTATGACTCAGTTGCTATCATGGAAACATGGTGGGATGATTGTCATGACTGGAATGCCACAATGAATGGATATAAGCTCTTCAGAAGGGATAGGCAAGGAAGGAGGGGCAGTGGCGTGGCTCTTTATGTTAGGAAGTGTTTTCATTGTATAGAGCTTGATTATAGTGATGATAAAGTTGAGTGTTCATGGATAAAAATGAAGGGGAAGGCAAATAAGGCAGATATTGTACTGGGAGTCTGTTAAAGACCACCCAACCAGGACGAGGAAGCAGATGAAGTGTTCTATAAGTGGCTGGCTGAAGTCTTGCAGTCACCAGCCCTTGTTCTAGTTGGGGACTTTAACCTACCAGACGTCTGCTGGAAATATAACACAGCAGAGAGCAGGCAGACTAGGAAGTTCCTCGAGTGTGTGGAAGATAACTTCCTGACGCAACTGGTAAGTGAGCTGACAAGGGGAGGTGCCTCACTGGACCTCCTGTTCAAAAAAAGAAAAGGACTAGTGAGAGACATTATGATCAGAGGCCATCTTGGGCTACAAAACTTTTCAGTTCTTAGTGATGTAAGGAGTAGGGTTAGCAAAACTTCCACCTTGGACTTCCAGAGGGCAGACTTTGGCCTGTTCAGGACAGTGGTTGAGAGACTCCCTTGGGAGACAGTCCTGAAGGGCAAATGGGTCCACGAAGGCTGGACACACTTCAGGAAGGAAATCTTAAAGGCCCGGGAGCAGGCTGTCCCCATGCCTAGGGAGGTTGTTGATGCCCCATCCCTGGAGGTTTTTAAAGCCAGGTTGGACAAGGTTTTGTGCAACCTGGTCTAGTGGTAGGGTTCCCTGCTCATGGCAGGGTGTTGGAACTTGTTGATCTTTAAGGTCCCTTCCAACCTTAATGATTTTATGTGTTGCAAGATTAAAGGGTGGGGAAGACAGCCAGCTTGGTTGAACAGGGAGCTTTTGCTGGGACTCAGGAAAAAAAAAGGAGGGTTTACCACCTTTGGAAGAAGGGAAAGGCAACTCAAGAGGAGTACAGAGATTTCATTAGGTCATACAGAGAGAAAATTAGTGTCACCGTTTGACTCAGGTCCGACAACAATGCTCTCGATCCCCTCTCCCCCCCACCCACGTAGGGAAGGAGAGAGAGAAAAAGAGAGAGACTTGGCTGGATTGAAAACTAAACTGCACAGCTTTAATTAAAACACTAATGAATCATACAAGAAAATATATACAGTTATATACAGTATGGGCAAAAGCCTCTCGCCTCCCCCCACCCCAGCAACTCCCACAGCACTTCCCTGAACTGGGAAGAGTCCCGAGGAATCCCGAAGCTGCTGCTGGAGAAAGCAGAGAGTTATGGGGGTCACAAGAGATCAAGAAAAAGGGGGGGTCACAGATCTCCCCATAGTGTCTGAGCCGGCAGAGTGCAGGTGCAGCCTTGAAGCCTCAGTAGTTAGAAAAACATTCCTCTGTCTTATCAGCCTAGCAGAACACACTGTTGCTAGTTACAAGAAAGCTTACTGAAGGAAAAAAATCAGTAAAAAGAAAAATTGGCTTCATCCTGGCTCAAACCAGGACAATTAGGAAGAAAAAAGCCCAGCTAAAGCTCAACTTGGACAGTGACATAAGGGACAACAAAAAAAAACTTTTATAAATATGTCAACAATAAAAAAAGAACCATAGAGAATCTCCATCCCTTACTGGATGAGGGGGGGAACATTGCAACTGAGGATGAGGAAAAGGCTGATACTTAATACCTTCTTTGCCTCTATCTTTAATAGTCAAACAAGCTTCCCCCAGGGTGTTCAGCCTCCTGAGCTGGAAGATAAGGACAGAGCACAGAACAACTCCCCCATAATCCAAGAGGAAGTAGGTAATGATCTACTTCTGTACCTAGAAACTCACAAGTCTATGGGGCCGAATGGCATCCACCTGAGACTACTGAGGGAGCTGATGGGGGAGCTTGCTAAGCTTCTCTCCATCATTAATCAACAATCCTGGTCAACAGGGGTAGTCCCAGATGACTGGAGGCTGCCTAATGTGATGCCCATCTACAAGAAGGGCTGGAAGGAGGATCCGGGGAACTACAGGCCTGTCAGCCTGACCTCAGTACCATGAAAGATCATGGAGAGGCTCGTCTTCAGTGAGCTCACATGGCAAGTGCAGGGAAGCCAGGGGATCAGGGCCACCCAGCATGGGTTTAGGAAAGGCAGGTTCTGCTTGACCAACCTGATCTTTCTATGACCATGTAACCTGCCTATTGGATGAGCGGAAGGCTGTGGACATCTACCTGGACTTTGGTGAGGCCTTTGACACCATTTCCCACAGCAGTCTCCCAGATGAGCTGGCATAGACAGGTGTACTCTTAACTGGGTAAAAAACTGGCTGGAAGGCCAAGCCCAGAGAGTTGTGGTAAACAGGGTCAAATCTAGTCGGCAGCCAGTCTCCAGTGGTGTCACTCAGGGCACAGTTTTGGTGAGTCTGTCCTGGTTTGAGCCAGAATGAAGCCAATTTTCCTTTTACTGTTTTTTGGGTGTATTTTTTTGTTTTCCTTTAGAGAACTCTCTTTTAACTAGCAGCAAGTTTTCCAGCTAGTGGACTGATAACACTTGGAATGTTTATGCTGTAACTGCAAGGTCACTTTGCTCTACTTGTTGAATCTGCAGCTCAGATGCTAAGGAGCAGAAGATTCATATTTGTAACCCTCCCACAGGGAGGAGTGAACTAGACACAGCAAAATTGACCAAAGTATTCCATTCCATATATCTATGTAAGCTCGGTGTAAGGTCAGAGATCATGGAAGTCAACTTCCTTCCTGCTTCTTCTTCCCTTCCATCCATGGCTGGCATCTGGGGAGGACTCCATCTATCCATCACCATTGATCCCTAGGCTTGTGTGTTCCTGACCCTCATAACTCTATCCTCAGCTCCTGTCTGCTCTACCGCTATCTCCAGCAGCAGTCCAGGACATTTTGGAATTGCTCACAGCTAAGGAGAGTGCCGTGGGAGTTGCTGGGGGTGGGGGTAGGCAATAGGGTTTTGCACATTCTTGAACACACTTGTATATAATTGTACATATTTTCTTATTAGTAGTATTTAATTAAAGCTGTCTAGTTTAGTTTTCAATCCAGAAAGTCTCTCTCCTTCATTCTCTCTCTCATTCCCTACCTGAGTGGGATAGAGAGCATTATTGTCGCTGGCTCAATTGCCAATCATGAGTCAAACCGTGACACAGTCTTATTCAATTTCTTTATCAATGATCTGGATGAGGGAACTGAGTGCACCCTCAGTAAGTTTGAAGACAAACTTACTGAGAGTGGGAGTGTTGATCTGCTTGCAGGTAGGAAGGCTCTACAGCGGGACCTTAACAGACTGGATCAATGGGCCAGGAGGTTTGATAATACCAAGTGCCAGGTCCTGCATTTCAGTCAGATCAACCCCAGACAATGCTACAGGCTTGGGGAAGTGTCTGGAAAACTGCCCAGCAGAAAAGGACCTGGGGGTGCTGGTTGACAGCTGGCCGAACATGAGCCAGCAGTGTGCCCAGGTGGCCAAGAAGACCTACAGCATCCTGGCCTGCATCAGGAGGAATAGTGTGACCAGCTGAAGTAGCAAAGTGATCATGTCCAGGTACTCAGCGCTGGTGAGGCTGCACCTCGACTACAGTGCTCAGTTCTGGGCACCTCACTACAGGAAGGAAATTGAGGTGCTGATGTGTGTCCAGAGGAGAGGTACCCCCATGAAATGCTACAGACTAGGGGAATGAGTGGCTGGAGAGCAGCCCAGCAGAGAGGCACCTGGGAGTACTGGTTGACAACCAGTTGAACATGAGCCAGCATTGTGCCCAGGTGGCCTGGAAGGCC